AGGGAAAGTGTCTCTCCAGAAAGGGCCTGGGCCTTCGGGAAGTGGCCTTCAGAAAGCTAGACCAGGGCACAGTCCTGCGGGGAGACCCCCCTGCCCATCCCCGGAGGCCTGGGCCCACGTGGGATGCGGGGAGAGGGGCACCTCTCCAGGGCCAAGGGTCCCAAGAATCCAAGGCTGGGGATGCCCGAGCGTGAATGAGGTCTGACGGATGGGAGGCTCGTGGCTGGTGGCCGGGTCGGGTCTGGGGTCAGCCGAGGCCTGGCGCGTGACCCGAGTCCGGGCGGCGGGCCGGGCGGCCGGGCGGGGCGGGGCCGGGTCACCGGGGGCATCCGCGCGCCCCGCCCCGGGGGAGTGTCCCGCCCGCGCGCAGCCACCTTAAGGGCCGGGCGGGGCGGCCGGGGCGGAGGCTGGCGGAGGAGCTACCGGCGCGGGATCCGAGTTAGGATCCGAGTTGGGATTCGAGTCGGGGTCCGATCGCACCGGCGAGGGAGCCATGGCGTCGTCCGGGCCGGCGCAGCTGGTGCTACTGCTGCTCGTGCTGCCGGCGGGCGCGGCGCGGGCCGGCCTCCACTTCCGCCCGGGCCGCGGCTGCTACCGGCCCCTGCGGGGGGACCAGCTCACCCAGCTGGGGCGCAGGTCGGGGTGGCTGGGGGCAGGGGCTGCCCATCTCCCGGGGCTTCGCGCCCTCTCCCGCCTGGGGGACCCTCCCGCCTCCTTGGGGTGCCAGGAACCAGGACGCCCAGCCTCCCTTGACCTCTGAGGGTCAGGGCCAGCCCCGTTGCTTTGGGGGCGCGCTCTTTCACATTTGTGGGGTTGGACGAGGCGCACCGGTGCAGGAGGCAGGCCAGCCTCGCCGCCCTGGCATTTGGAGCATCGCTGGCGGAGCGGTCTGGTTCCTGCACTGGGGGTGGCGCGTGTGTGCCCTGCCCACTTGAGATTCTGAGCGGGCAGGGGCGTCTCCTGGCTGGGATGGCCCTTTCTCGCTCGCTCTCAGTTTGGGGAGGGGAGAGGGCGCTGGGGAAGGTGCCTGAGCGCCCGACCCCCAGGGGCCCCAGTGCTGATTCCGGTGGTGGTGGTCTGTTCCCAGGACATACCCCCGGCCTCACGAGTACCTGTCCTCATCGGATCTGCCCAAGAGCTGGGACTGGCGCAACGTGAATGGGGTCAACTACGCCAGTGTCACCAGGAACCAGCACATCCCCCAGTACTGTGGCTCCTGCTGGGCCCACGGCAGCACCAGTGCCATGGCGGGTAGGTCGGGGACTGCGGCCCCTCTTGACTGGGCCAGGAGGGCCCGTCCAGCTGCCTTCTTTGTCAGTACCGGCAGCTGCAGCCCAGGGTCCCAGGGGCCTGCAGTTCTGTGCCAGGACTCAGCCTGGCATGGGGCGGTGTCTGCGTCAGGCCTAAGGGAGTGGATGCCCGGCAGTCACAGGACTGAAGACCTGTGACAAACGGCTCCCAGGAGCCTTATCTGTCCCGAAGCTTGTGACCTGGGCTCTTGGGGATCAAACCACAAACTCACCGAACACCCTGCTGGTGTTTGGGTATGCGGAAGTGAAGCTGCTTTTCAGCGTAGTTAATATTTGAAATGAATGCCTGCCCTGGGCTTGGAACATTGAGCAAGGCTGGCCGTTTCCTCATCTGGGCCTTAGCCGCCTGGCTGCAGCGAGGGCGGGAAACCTCGAGGCCAGGAAACCTCAAGGCCGGGGTTGGGGGGCGGGGAGGGATCCGAAGTCAGCGCTGCTCTAGAAGGCTGCTGGGCCTGCCTCGGTAGGGGAGGGAGGGGGACTTCACACCAGCCTGGGCCTTCATTCAGCTCGGGGTTCCGGGACCCTGCAGTCACGCCGGAATCTTTCAAACTCCTGCCCTGTGGCATTGTGTTAAGCCAATGTGTGGCTACCACCCCAGCCTATGCTCGACGTCTCATCCCATTTAAGCCTCCTGGCTGCCCTGTGATTGCTCCCACTTTGCAGATGAGGAAACTGAGGCTCTGGCAGGGAGGTCAGGAGACTAGGCCTTTGTGCGAGTGACAGCCAGGAGCAGAGCGCGGAAGCTGGGCTGTCTTTAGGATGAGGGGTAGGGCTGGCGTCTGGACCCCAGGGCCAGCCAGCTGTACTGGGGGCATCTGGCAGGGTCTCGTGGTGGCCCTGCCCCATCTCTCTTGGGGGCTGGGTTGTACTTCTGACCCTTCAGGAAGGGGGAGGGTGGGGGCGGGTAGGCTGAGCCCCATTTTATTTTGTTTTATTTTATTCAAAAAATTTGTTTTGGCTGCACCCCGCGGCTTGCAGGATCTTAGTTCCCCAACCAGGGGTTGAACCCCGGCCCACAGCAGTGAACACGCTGAGTCCTAACCACTGGGCCACCAGGGAACTCCCTGAGCCCCATTTTAAGGTGTAGGAGCTCTTCTGGGCAGCTGGGGAGGCCCCTGACCGGGATGGAGATGGACAGGGCCCCTGGAGAATGTGGAGCAGAGGCTTAACCACTGGAGCTGCTGGGAGACTTCAGGGGCCCTGCAGGCGGGCAGGCAGGCAGGCAGGCAGGCAGGCAGGGTGTGGGCGGGCCTCGAGCCAGAGGCTCAGGGCTAAGGCCTGGCACTCCCTGGCCTGGAGGAACTGAGAGGGCCTTTGTGGCAGGGGCCTAAGGGTGGGTGGGGGAAGCTGAGAAGGTCACCAGGGGCCCTACCCCCAGGGGAGGGGCCGGGCAGAAGCCTGAGGGATCTTAGGGAGGGAGTCACATGCCAAGATTTGCATCTGCAGAGGAGTGCGGGGGGCGGGCGGCCCTGGAGGGGATGGCGTGTCCCTGTTCCGGAGGTCCGCCCTCCACTTGCTGCAGTGGAGTCTCCCGGGCACACGACTGCTTCTCTCCTCTTGCTCTCCAACCCCTGACGGCCTCCCTGACAGCAGGCATCCTCTTCCTCTTTCACCGAGAAAACAGAAGCCCCCAGAAGGGGACTTCCACGGTGCCTGGCCCAGCCGCCACCTACTGCAGCTGGTCATAGCTCGCCTTCCCTCCCGTCCCCGGCCGTCCAGCGTCTGAGCCCCTGGACAAGGCCATCCCTGCCGATGCTCAGACCTGGCCATCACTGAACCCCACCCCGTCTCCAGCCGCCACCCCACTTCTGGGCTCCTGGAGGGGCCTGCGGTCCCCACCTTCTCCCTGCCAACCCGACCCCCTCCAGTCGCCTGCCAGCTCCTCGCCAAGGTCACCGGCACGGGCCGCCGGGGGGGCAGGTCTGGTGGTTGCCCCTGGGCCTCGCCCCGCCCTGTTGTGCTCGATCAGCCCCTCCCCAAAATGTTTTCCTCGCCTTTAGCCACAGGCCCCCCGGTCTCTGCCTCACCAGCCCCTCCTTCATACCCCCGCTTAACTTCTGGACACTGGGCTCCCCGGCACCCTGCACCTGGACTCGGCCTTCACACACCCCCGCGGGGCACCTCAGACCTCAAGTGCTCCTCTTTTCTGCCACCACCCTCACCCCCAAACCGGTTCTTCCCTGGCCTCCCTGATCACTCCAGGAGATGCCACCCTCCCTCACTCAGGCCCAGGCCCAGAGGCAGCTGGCCTCCTGCTTTCCACCCTCAGAACATCGGGCCGCAGGGCTGCACTCTACCTTACAAGCACCGCTGCGGAGCTGCCGCCCGGTCCGCCTGCCGCTCCCCTGGCGGAGCACCTCAGACCCAGGCCGGGTCCCTTTTCTGTTCCATTTGAAACCCTCCAAGGTTTCAGGCAGATAGAACAAAACCCTGACTTGCCCGCAGAGCCTGCGTAAGCTGGCTCCCTGTTCCGTGTTGGGACCCAGTTTGGACACCAAGAGCTGAAGGACGGGCCGGTTCCCTCAGGCGGGAGGGGTTACTGGGTGAAGCGGTCAGCTGCAGGGTCAGCAAGGCCGGGGAGGAGGCTTGAGCACCCAGCGCGGGCGCGGCAGGAGGCTGCTGAGAAGGAGCTTGGGGAGACCTGCGGGGGCCTGGAGGGCGGGGCTCACCCGCACAAGGGGTTCTGCAGAGGGCTGTCCGCGGAAGAGCACTGGACGGTGCGTCCAGGGGCGCTGGGGGAAGGGCTGGGGCACGTGCTGGTGACGGGCCGTGGGTTCCACAAGCCCGGGGCTGGTCACAGGGCCGCATGTAAAGACCTGTGGGCCCAAGGGCCTAGGAGGTGGCCCCAGGGGTGTAGGGGGCCTGGGGCTGCAGGAGGGAAGGAGGGGGGCGCCTGGAGGGGGCTGCTGGTGGGTGGAGGGCCTGGCCGCTTGCTCGTAGTCATCAGGGAAGGAACAGGCGCAGCTGTGGTGAGTTCTGACCTGGAGGTGGGAACTCGGGATGCGGCCACGAGATGGGAGGCTGCGGAATCCTCGCTCCAGGAGGGCGGAAAGCAAGGTGGCGGGCCCGTGGTAGGGTTGGCTGCAGGGCCCCGCAGGATGCTGTCTGTGCAGGGAAAGGGGGGCAAGGAGCGGGGGGCCATGGCTGCCCTCAGCCGTCCCCAGCTGCCCCGTGGGGTGTGTGGGCCCAGGCGCGTGGGGAGTGAGAGTGGGGTCGCCGACCGGCCCCTAGTCTGGCTCCCCAGTGCCCTGGGGGATCTACCAGCCTTCAGGCGGGACACGCCCGGCCCTGCCCAGATGGAACTTGTAGTGGGGGAAGGGTGGGCATCGGTGCCAGGAAGGGCCCGGGAGGCCTCTCTGGAGAGCAGGGCCCCCAGGGAGCAGGGGAGGGCCCTCCAGAGAGGGATGCGTGGCCCCTGGAGCAGCAGGCAGCGGGGCGGGTGCTGACCAGCATGGGTGCTGCCCCCGCAGACCGAATCAACATCAAGCGGAAGGGGGCGTGGCCCTCCACACTGCTGTCCGTGCAGCACGTGATCGACTGCGGCAACGCCGGCTCGTGCGAGGGGGGCAATGACCTGCCGGTGTGGGAGTACGCCCACCGGCACGGCATCCCCGATGAGACCTGTAACAACTACCAGGCCAAGGACCAAGGTAGGGCCCGCTCATCCCCCAGACGCGCGCGCACACACACACACACATATGTGGCCGGGTCCCTGGGGAAGGGCGGGACGGAGCTGGGAGGCCCCTGCCGCCGTGTGTCTCGTGGGACGGGGTGGGGGACGGTAAAGGTGGGGCCTGGCATCCTTGGTGGGAAGGCCAACAAAAAAGGACTCGGGATGGGGGTCTCCAGCCTGCGTGCCCGGCAGCCAGGCCGGGCCCTGGTGTTTGGGTTTTGACGTGTTGGCATTTTGGTGGTTTCATGGCCCTTTGTAAGGGGAACGCTCATCAAGGGAGGAGTGTTTTCCAGGAGCCGGGTATGGCGAGCAAGCAGGAAGCAGGCGGGCCCGGCCTGGTTCGAGACCCTGGTCCTGGCCGCCTGCATCTGGGTGGATTTGGAGCCGGGGGTGCTGCAGGAACCAGCGGATGCAAGCTGACCTGGGGCCCTGGAGTCGGCACGGTCCTTTCAGGGTGCTCCCCTTGGAAACCCAAGGAAAGAAAAAGTCCAAACCCTAACCCCACAGTGGGTAGTTTTAAGTCACCTGTCTGAGCTCCCTCGTAACCAGAGCAAAGAGCTGAGACCAACTCAAAAGGCCTTTTGAGACAGGAGTGGGGAGGACGGGGTGTGTGTGGGGAGCCTGGGGGGCTTTTCTGCCCCCGCTTCCATCTGTGAAAGGTGTGCTCAGGCCCCTGTACCTTCTGAAGGTGCCATCCCACGCCCACAGGCTGCCCCCGCCTTGCCTCCCAGGCAGTATTGCCCAGCCAGAAGGCATCTCCCCAAACTGGTCCAGTGAGTTGTTGAAGTAATAAATGCAGCAGGGTTCAGAGAACCAAGGAGAGGTGTCCAGGATGAAGGGGAGCAGGGAGGGCCCCCGAGGGCTCAGAATCGGGAACCAGGTGGTCTTCGGAGCCCCGATCCACCCAGAACTGGTCTTGTCTGTCCTCGGCCAGGCCCCTCCAGCCCACCTAGTACAACAGGGCCAGATGGAACTCATCGGCACCTGATTGTTTGCAATAAGTAGTCCTGTCTTTTTTTTTTTTTTTTTTGGCTGTGTTGGGTCTTCGTTGCTGCACGCAGGCTTTCTCTAGTTGCAGTGAGCAGGGGCTACTCTTTGTTGCGGTGTGCGGGCTTCTCATTGCGGTGGCTTCTCTTGTTGCGGAGCACGGGCTCTAGGCGCACGGGCTTCAGTAGTTGTGGCACACAGGCTCAGTAGTTGTGGCTCATGGGCTCTAGAGTGCAGGCTCAGTAGTTGTGGCTTGTGGGCTCTAGAGTGCAGGCTCGGTAGTTGTGGCGCACAGCCTTAGTTGCTCCGCGGCATGTGGGATCTTCCCCGACCAGGGACCAAACCCGTGTACCCTGCACTGACAGGCGGATTCTTAAACGCTGCGCCACCAGGCAAGTTCCAGTAGTCCTGTCTTTGTGTTAGAAAATGTGGCCACAGATCCACCTTTTTTCAGGTTGTCCTGGGCATTTGGTGTCCAAGGGACAAATTAAACCAACAGTTTAGTCCTCAAGGAGTTTAATGTCTTGGGGAAGGAGTCTGGATAGATACAAAACTATAACAGAAATAGGTAATGTGAAAGCAGTAGAAAGTGGTGCCGTGGGCCGAGGTAGGATGGACAAGGTGAGAAGTAATACTGCCTAGGGCCCAGGAAGGATGCAGGAGACAGTGTGGAGTCTTCCAGATCTAATAGCTGCACTTTTTTTTGTGGCCTATTGATAACTTCTCAGACTGAAGTAATAAGAAAATGCTTATTTTTTCCTCAAACGTGGGGAAATAATACAGTCTTATTAAAAGTGAATAATAGGGGCTTCCCTGGTGGCGCAGTGGTTGAGAGTCCACCCGCTGATGCAGGGGACGCAGGTTCTTGCCCCGGTCCGAGAAGATCCCACATGCCGCGGAGCGGCTGGGCCCGTGAGCCATGGCCGCTGAGCCTGCGCGTCCGGAGCCTGTGCTCCACAACGGGAGAGGCCACAGCAGTGAGAGGCCCGCGTACTGCAAAAAAAAAAAAAAAAAAAAAAAAAGTGAGTAATACATAGCTAACAATGCAATCTTATTAAAAGTGAATAATTTAATTACACTCTATTCTCAGCTGTATTGTGCAAAGGCCTTTCTCCCAGCTTTAAAGGAAAAGTGGAGCTTTTGAGCACCTACTATGTGCTAATTAACACGTTTTTGAGCGCCTACTATGTGCTAATTAACGTTTCTTTCCACCGAGGCCTGGGGAAAGGCTTTTTATAACTCCTGCAGCTGGAAGAAGAGGGTAATTAAACACCCGAGGGCAAGAAGATTTCCATTATTAGCTGATGGATGGAGCATTCAGTTAGAAAAGTGGCATTTGGGTCTGGGCATGCTACTTTGTTCAGGGGTTAACAGGGAAATGGCCTCACGCTGACTTTCCGTGCTGTCCCCAGAGTGTGACAAGTTTAACCAGTGTGGAACATGCACTGAATTCAGAGAGTGCCATGTCATCAAGAACTACACCCTCTGGAAAGTTGGCGACTACGGCTCCGTCTCCGGGAGGGAAAAGATGATGGCAGAAATCTATGCGAAGGGCCCCATCAGGTGAGGAGCTTTGAGACCCCTGCCCGCGGAGGGCGTGCACGCTTCCAGTAAACAGGACCCGGGTGATTTTCACCCCTTTCCTTCTGGCCAACTTTACGCACAAGGCTGGAGACACAGCTGCCACGTGAGTTTTCTCAAAAGTAAAGCTCAGTAGCCCATGTGCCCCTCCTAGGATTATTGTGAGGGAAGGACACATCCATGGACAGCTCCCAGAGTGTAGCCAGTGCTCTGGGGCGGCTGGTACAGCTTCAGTAGGGAGGACACCAGGTGAGTAACTACAGAAGTTTGGGCAGAATCATCAGGTGCGCGTTATCTGAGTTGGATCCACACGGCTCTTCCTAACGATGGTCAACGATGGCCATTGAAAGCGCTCATTCTTTCCCTGCTTGCTCTCAGCTGCGGTATAATGGCAACGGATAAGATGTCTAACTACACCGGTGGCATCTATGCTGAATACCACGACAGGGCCTACATAAACCACATAGTCTCCGTGGCCGGCTGGGGTGTCAGCCATGGGACGGAGTACTGGATCGTCCGGAATTCGTGGGGCGAACCATGGGTAAGACATTTCCACTGCGACTCCTCTCACTTGGATGGTTCTGGGGGTTTTGTAGCTGAGAACCGCGGCTCTGAGCAGAGGGGCTTCAGGCTCCAGACACGTGGGGTGAGGTCCTTCTGTGCTGCACGGGGGCTGTCCCCGTCCTGTGCCTCGCAGCGCGTTTAGCAGCATCCCCGGCCCCTACCCGGTAGATGCCAGATGCTCCTCCCCGCTCCCCAGCTGTGACAACCAGAAAACGTCTGCAGACATTGACAGATGTCTCCTGAGGGGAATGGGGGCTAAGAAATGCTGCTTTAGAAGTTTCCGTTTAGCTAGCTTTTATTCCTTTACAACCATCTCATTCTTTTTCTTGCCATACTTTCGGCTCTCCTAAGTAATACTGTGGAGTTTCTTCAAAAATACTTTTTGAGTTGAGTCAAAAACCCAGGGGAATTAAATTAACTGCCAGAATTTTCCTTTCTAAGACCTAGTATTAACCATTAACAGCTGAAGACACAAATTCATTGTTATGAAATCAGGGAAGGTGATTTTTTTTTTTTTTTTTTTTTTTTTTGCGCCCCGGGGCCTCCCTCGCATCCTCAGCGGATGAGCGAGGGTATAGGAAGTGTTGCGGAGCACAGGCTCCGGACGCGCAGGCTCAGCGGCCATGGCTCCCGGCCCCAGCCGCTCCGCGGCACGTGGGATCCTTCTGGACCGGGGCATGAACCCGTGTCCCCTGCATCGGCAGGCGGACCCTCAAATACTGCGCCACCAGGGAAGCCCAGGGAAGGTGATTTATGTCGAAGTGATGAAATGTCAATATTTTTTATTAAACTACTATAAATGGGGATATTAATAGGTAGTCGAGTCATCTGGTCTAAAGAGTCGATCAACATTTTAGTTAATTAGCTCTCGGCATACAGGGCCATGCACCCCTCGTGTTGAATATTAACCAAGTTGGATATTTCACAAAAGCTATTTCCGAACAGGGGTCCCAGGAAAGGGAAGGGGCAGCCGAGCGGGTGGCTGGGACGCTGCAGGCCCCCTGAGCCTGAGGCTGAGTGAGGAGGGGAGGGGGTCAGTCTATGCAGAGAGCAGACAGGATCTGAGCTGACGCACGGTCCCACTCCTCACAGGGTGAGCGGGGCTGGATGCGCATAGTGACCAGCGCCTACAGAGGTGGCAAGGGTGCCAACTACAACCTTGCCATCGAGGAGAACTGCACGTTTGGGGACCCCATCGTTTAAGGCAGACGTCTCCAGAGGAGCGGCTCTTAAAGAAATTGTCGCATGAGCCGTAACCAGAGAGGATCCCACCTTCATGGGCACTGGGGTGGTACTGCCGTGGTTTGAAGGAACTGGGGGTTGGCAGCCACATATGTGATGGCCGGTGACAGCCCTGGGCGCCCAGGAGGGATGGCCGCCGCGATGCCGCACGGGCTGAACGCGTTCCCGGGGGATGGGAGTCGCCGGGGGGACGACCCAGCACCTGCACAGGACGGCTTCCTGCCGGGAGGACGGCAGCGCACCATCTACCTGGAGAAGCGTGATCCACCAGGCGGTGAATGATGTGACCTCCGTTTTCTTCAATAAATCATTTGGCAACTGTGGTCTGTGATGTATTTAAGAGGTGGAACATTTCAGACTTGTCATCACCAGTTCCTCTGTCACCCTGAGAAATCGATGGTAGGGCCGAGGGGGGATGGCGATCTCAGGTTGCCCAAGGGATGAATAAAATGCACACTTCACACCAGAACTGAATCTGAGTGCTTTATTTACACACGAAAACAACATTAACACCGGGACCTACACCTTCCAACCGCAGAAGGGCTTTTTATTTGTTCTCGGAAAATGAAAGCAATTGCAATAATATGAACTAACCAATGGAGCCTTGTGAGAAAACTTAAACCAACTCTGAAAAGAGTTCATCTAAGCCTCTCAGTTTCTGAATTTCCACCACCCCCGGGGCTGACAGTTGGCTACATCCCAAGAGGTAACGGGAACCTAGTTCCGCTACTGGGGGAAATGAATACTGTCAACAGGACCTGGGGGCAGCCCTGGACTCACGAGGAGAGGGGACTCTTCCTAATAGCCGTTACACTGCTAACAGCTTCCTTTGTAAAACAGTTCTCCACCTCCTCCCGCCACAGCCCATTTCCAAGAGGCTGCCTGGGCCTCTTCAGCGACAGCTTCTGGAAAGGGCTTTCCCATGGTGGGTCTCCTGGAATGCTCTGCTCCAGCTCTGGAGGATGCTCTGAATCAGTTCACCAAGATGAAGTTAGACTTGCAGTGAGCTTTAACCAACAGAAGGGAAACAGGCACTGGGTTAGAAACAGGAGGGAAACAATGACATTGAAAACTGCAGCCAAGAGACGCTCACGCCAACCCTACCTATAAACTCCGTCACAGGGTCGTGTTCCCCTTCTGTTTTAATGGTGCCGGCGATGCTGTCGTTCTCCAGGATAGGAAGGAAAAGCTGCACGAAGTCAGAGGTGTAGGGGGGCGCGATGACATCGAGCACCTACGGGGAGCACAGCCTGTGAGCGGCTCCGACTACCAGTCAGACGGCAACAGTGCGGCGAGACCCCTCCCCCAACCCCCGCCATTCTGCTTCCTGCCGACAATCTCCGACATTAAGACGCCCAGGGGCCAGGCAGGTAAAACACTGTTCCTGCAGGTAGGAGATGCCTGGTAGACTGGCATCCGTGTCACTGTCATCACCGTGACCATCCGACGGCACAGCTCCCGGAGTGCGGTACCAGATGACTACATCAAGCCAAGGAGGGCGCTGCCGGGGAAAGCGGTAACCGGCGCGCGCTGACCTCAGTCACAAAGTGGCGAATGAGGGAGATGTCGGTGTCCAGCTTCTCCAGACACTTGCGGATGTAACTGACCACGGGGAGCACGTAGCCCCGGCTCAGCAGGTGCACCATCCTGTCCAGGAGGGTCTTCTTCAACTCGAGCTGCACGGGCGGGGCGACAAGGCTGAGAAAGGGGCCGCCTTCCCGCTGTGCAGCCCAGCCCGAGGGCTGCCCGCTCACCTGCTCCATCACGTCCAGCTGGGAGTGCTCTGTCTCGAAGAGCTTCACCAGCAGCTGCAGGACCTGTGGGTGGAGGAGCTGGTGGCAGGTGCTGATCTACAAAGAGGCCAAAGGGAGCCGCCCTGAGCGCTACGGCTGGGCCTCTGGGCTCCCCGCCAGCCCCAGAGAACCGTCACCAAAGACAGCTCGTGGCTGAGGACGGCGGGCCCAGCACTCGGCCCGGGGCCGGCCAGCCTCTGACCCATTCCTCATCCTTTCAGGGACACTTGATAAAAACGGAGAGATCTGTGGAGTCAACGAAACTAGCTCCTTAAAAGGAAACTCCTCGTTTAGAACAGAAATAACCAGCTCCGGAAGGACTGCCTTCTGAAGGCGGGGAACAGACGTGCGGGAGCCTCGGACCCGGAGCTGGGGGGTCCGCAGCCCCTACCTCGTCCAGCAGTGCCAGGTGCACCGGGGTGTGGTCCGTCTGCAGCTGGAAGTACCTCGGCTCTGACACAGTCCAGTCCACCCACTTCAGCACACCCATGGCCACCACTGGAAACCTACAGGTAAACAAGGGAGAACGCTTCCTTTAAACAAAATTTTCTAAAGGGCAAACACCAAAACAAACACCACCAACTCAAGCCAGCCCGTCAACCCACTCTACAACGTGCTCTGCCAGGGAGACACGATGAGCTGAGAACAGGCTGACGAGACCAGCACCCTCTCAAACGCGCTGCTCGAGAACCCGAATCCCACGCTCAGCTGACTTGGGACCAACTTTGCTGGTTTGAAAGGAAAAGACCATTCATGCAACACTCCATGAGCTTGGTGGACTGGGCTGAAGCTTACTTTTATTTAGCAAACCCTTTCTTTGTCACTAGTACAAATTAATGGAGGAAGATTCAAAAGCCTAAGAGGACACCCCTGTGTGTCAGCTTTTCTAGTGAATGCTTATTTAAATAACTGGCATGACACCCACCATTTCTGTCTAGGTGATACTTTGTTGGTCTAACTTTTACTGTAAATAGAGCCTCTCCTTCAAGTCAATTTTTGTAATTCTGGTTGGTCTTCCTTTTTCTTAGTCTAATTTGCAAACGGACTTCTGGCAAGTAAACACCTGAAAATTACTCATGCTGCTAGAACAGTTTAAAGTGCTCGCTCTCTATTTACGAAAGGGAAAATAAATACGATGAATAGGTATCTCTGAATCTGTTTTATTTTTTGAGCTTTTAATACGAAAGCTCAAACCCCTCCTCCCTGGAGAATCAGGGTTAGAACCTCCACGTGCTCACCTGATACACTGGTAGAGGGTGCTCAGCTCGGCCACAAGCTCAGACGCCCCTTTGTTCTCATTGCAACACAAGTTGTGAACAGTCTCAACAGCTTTCGATGTTGACTTCAGCTCGTCTTTATTGATGCTGACTCGCTTGTTCTGAAAACACATGAAGTTGGTGAATCCCGACGGTGCCCGCATCCTTGCAGTCGGGGTAACCTGGCCTCGGCCCTTCTCTCTGCAAACCCCCGTCCCTGTCTCTGAAGTGTCCCCGTCACACAGCGAGACCGTCCGCCAGGGAGACCGGCATCCGTCGGTGGCTTAGGGAATCGGTTTTGTTTCTTTAGCCACACTTCAAATTACAGTTTAAATTAGTATCATAGATGCTGTGCACCTTTCCTTGAGACATTTAGCACTTTGACTTATTTTATGCAGAAAAACTAGAAAAGACATTTCTGACACTAGTTGGGCCCGTGATTCCCTGCAGCCAAAATTCCCAAATAACACCACAGAGAGGAGGTTTCTGGCTCCCTAAAAAACTCCATGAGTTCTCAGAACTGACAGTACCTTCTTCCAGGTCTCCACCACGCTCGCTGCGTATGCTAAGATGTGGATGTACTTGTGCTTGTGGTCCTGGTTGATCCTGGCCCCTGGTTTAAAGAGTGACTGCATGAACAGGTCCAGGAAGGCCGGCACCCGGATCTGAAGAGAAACACACAAACACACTGAAAAGGAACACAGGAGTGAGATGGCAGGTAAGTCCACACGCACCCACGGCAGGAGGGCCCACTCACATCCACCGCTGCCTGTGCTTCAGGGTGTGTGAGGGCCGAGGATGTGATGAGGAAGGACCAGGGAGAGGACAGAGACATTTCAATAGGAATGTGCACTCGCTGACTTCAGAGAATTAAAAGGAACAACAACTTTCCAAAAGAATATACTTCCGATAGGCACTGAGGGTGTCCCATCTTAAGGTTAAAATGAAAAGCAACTTACGAGTTCAACAGGAGGCGGGTCCATGCTTGTAAACATCTTGAACAGGACTGTGATGTCGGCCGGATTCAGGGCTCCCTTGGACAACATAGCCCCAAGGGCCTGACACGCCCGGGGGTAGGAGGCAGCTGTGCCCAGTGCGAGCGTGATCTGACTGGCGTCATGGCCTCTTGATGAAAAAAAAAATAATCGTACATCCCATCATTGATGAGGAGGCGCCCTGTCCTGCCCTCTCCTTCCTTCTCTCTCCTTTTCCTTCCTTCCTTTCAGATTTATACTTTGAACTGTTGGGGTCCCTTTGTTTTTTCATATTTCTCTCATCCACTGGTACGTTTACTAACTGACCCATGAAAGCAACATTTAGAGCTAACTGGGAAAGAATGGTTCAGTACAGCTCAGAGGCTTCCTAAAAGGAACCACGCACTTTTTAGGGATCTTCAGACTCCATTAGTAGACAATAAAGCTAACAGGGGCTAGTTTTGTTCTGTAAGATATGGACCACAGTCTAACCATCAGACTACTAAAGAACTATCTCAGGACTGCTGCCATGTGCCATTGATGAATCCCAGTATATTGGGAGTTTAGGTTCATAAATACAGTTAGGTTCATAAGTACAGTGAATTCAACGATAAGCAAATCGTTTACCAAATATTCATCGAAGCAGAACTTTACGAAGCAAGCTCTCTTCACGTATTTAAAATTAGCCCGACTTTTTCAGCTCTACTGGATAAAAGCAAGTTTACCTAGCTGTCAAAAACAGGAGGACGTAGAGTCTTTGGTTGTGGACACAGGGCAATGTGGTAGGGGCGAGAGCGAGCTGACAGGCAGCCTCTCACCTCTCCTGGGCAAAGCGCTGGACCTCCTGTGCGGCCCTGCGCACGGCCGAGCCCCCCTGCTCCTCCTGGGCCAGCACGGACATCAGGGCCTGGGCGAACAGGTACGTGTGCTCCCCGTGA